TATCCGACCGAACTACAAACTTTCCAGTGATGTCTGTGAGAAAGATATATTCACTCGACAAGCTCGCGCATCTGCGCCGCCGCGCGCTCAATCCACTCAGCGTGCTTTGTTTATCAGCTCGCGCACATCAGCTATAAAGGCGTTAATACTGAATGTTTAACATTATATTCATTGCATACATATACTTCGTAGTAGACATCCTTAACTCCTCTCTGCTGTCTGTTGTTCTGTTGTCGGTGTTTCTTTGTTTGAATATGGCGCTTATCACATGCTGTGTGGTATCGGCGTTTGGTATCGGGGTATTTTAACGAGTACGAGTACGAGTACAGGAGACCAGTATCGGGCCCGATACCGATACCAGTATCGGTATCGGTGCATCCCTAATTTAGACTTTAGTATTTTCTGTTTTACTGGCGAAATAATGAATATTCAGATGAAAATGTGCTTTTTATTTAGCTGTTAAATTTCCTAAACGCTATATCTTTAGACTAGTTTCACAATCTTGTCTTGTGAGATGTTTTATAGTGTCTCTGATTTAAACAGTAGCAAAAACAAAGATGGGCTGTGTCCGGAATCAAGTAAATCCTCTCCCAGGGTTACATGGGATAGTAATGTGTCCATTGGACTTTTTGTCTTCTGTTTTATGAATACTATGAATTCAGACATACTACTTTTTTCACATGCTGTTTTTCACCTATTATTTATTATGGAAGTATTCAGATGCAGTCTTAGAGTTAGCAAGTTTGATTCGTTTCAGTGAATCAGTGCAAACTGTCCATTTAAGTGAATCAGTTCTTAGAACTCTGATTTGATGATTGGATGTCATCATTTGAAATCTTTATGGTAATCTCACATAGGGCTGGGCGATATAGCTAAAAAATGTATCAACGAAATAATGTTTCATATCGTTTGGTATCGATAATTATTGACATTTTTTATAACCTTTTTTAAAACAGAAATAGAAATTTTTTTTAAATTTAACCACTGTATTTTTAAATTAACCCAATTTATTGAGACAAACAACAAATATTTTTTTGTTTTAACAGTCAAACACACAATAAAAATTAAACAAATATCTAATTTCTAATGTTTTATGTGCCGATTAAATAGGTCTTAAGGAAACTTTTGGCTTGTCTCCCGAGGCCGCAGGAGGGCGCCACTCACTCAGATTGTATTTAAAAACATAAATTTTTTTATTCACAATCTCCTCATCACAGGCAGGCACAGCACTGATGTTCCTGTTTGTTTGTGCTGTCTGCGTCACTCAGAGCACGTGCCTATATCGTGCATTATATCAAATATTTTTTATATCGTTATCGAAGAAGGTGTACCGTCGATAAATATCGATACCGTTTTATCGCCCAGGCCTAATCTCACATTTTATTTCCACATTTTCAAAGGGCATTAGATTGTAAAAGTAAAATTTAAATTAATTCTTCGTCTGTATTTAGTAATTAACAGTGTTTTAACAAAAAAATTCGGTAACACTTTATTTCGATAGTCCACTTTAGACATTCTATTAACAGTAAGTAACTTTGCAACTACATGTCAACTAGCAGTTAGTAGAGTATTAGTGGACTATCTATTCTTGAATATTTTATATCGTGCATTAAACATTTTTGGTTATAATGATAGTTACTCATTTCAGAAAAAGTATGTAAATATTGAAATACTTTGTGAGTTGTTATAATGTCTTCTTTGTATTTTAGCACTAACTGTGAAGAGCTTTAGTTTTTTGTATGAGATTATTTTGGTGCATTGTGTGTAATGAACGCTGAGAGCCGTATATGAGATGCATCCTCAGAGCGAGTTTGGTCCAGAACTTATATGGCCAATGCAATCTGCTTACATTGCTGATTTGGGAAAAGCAAGACCCCTGTGGATCTTATTATATGACAAATATATGTTATGAACGGCCATCCGGAACAGCTTTGACCTGCAGCAAAATCTGCAAATTACAGCATATTGAAATGTGCCGTCATAATGTGGCTTTGCAGTTTGCCATTATGGGGGCCTTCATTATATTTGAGGCTGGCAGTAATGATCCCTCTCGTATTATATCTGAGGCTAGCAATTATGGCCACAGTATATGAGTGAAACGGAGGGAAACCAGAGGGGGATGGGGTGGAAGTGTCACGAAAACTTTTTGCTGTGCTAGTTTCTGCAGTTTGCCGAGGATAGACGATGACCCAGACTGTGTCTGCCGTAAAAGATGGTCCAGGTTTATTATTTCATACAAATAAAACATTTTATACATACACACCATTAAATATAATATAAAATTATTATTATTATTTATTTGAATTATTTCTATTATTATAATTAATTAATAATTAATATTAAATTAAATAATAAATATATACAAATCTATATTATATTTTTTATCTATTTGTTTATTTATTTATTTATTTATTTATTATTATTGCTATTAATTTTATTATTACGTTTTTTTTTAACAGAACTGTTTTCGTAATTGTGCGATTCACAGATATTGCACATTATCAGGATGTGTTTTGTTCTCTAGTGCAGTGTTTCTCAACCCTGGTCCTGGGCGTCCCCCAGCACTGCACATTTTGTGTGTCTCCCTAATCAAACACACCTGATTCAACTCATTAGCTCATTACTGGCAGTAATGATCCCTCTCGTATTATATCTGAGGCTAGCAATTATGGCCACAGTATATGAGTGAAACGGAGGGAAACCAGAGGGGGATGGGGTGGAAGTGTCACGAAAACTTTTTGCTGTGCTAGTTTCTGCAGTTTGCCGAGGATAGACGATGACCCAGACTGTGTCTGCCGTAAAAGATGGTCCAGGTTTATTATTTCATACAAATAAAACATTTTATACATACACACCATTAAATATAATATAAAATTATTATTATTATTTATTTGAATTATTTCTATTATTATAATTAATTAATAATTAATATTAAATTAAATAATAAATATATACAAATCTATATTATATTTTTTATCTATTTGTTTATTTTTGTATTTTATTGTTAAACTGGTTACATGGGAAAAAGAAAAAAAAAGTTGATTGAAATTCTTATCTTTGGTTGCTTTGTTGAATCACTCTCTCTCTTTTTTTTTTGAGCATCTTGCCATTATTATAAGCCATTTTTGAACTTTGCTTGTCAAAACAGGTCTTTCAGACAACACGCCAAACTATGGCGATGCATCAATGAAACCTACCACCTTAGATTTGGAAGTGTAATATCATTTTCATGAAGC